TAGTGACTATCGCACAGCTGCCGGCCTACGAACAACTTAGGTAAGGTGCAACTAAGTCGACTAGACTGAAAGGTAAGTCGTTGTGCCGTCCACGCTCACCGCACCATGCGGAGATAACTCTAGTAACGGGAGCTAGACTGCGGGCTAGGCACGGATGCTCGTGTGATCTCTGCGTTCGTTGGTCCTTAGTCGTTTTCCTAGTGCGCACACTACTTGCTAGTTCACAAGGAAATTTGGCAAGAGTTTCACTAGAGAAAGTTGACAACAATGATACAATGAAGTTGGCTAGGAAAGACTACATCAGAGCTAGGATGCAAGCAGGTCGACTGCCAGCGCGGCACGGTCGACCGCGTGCCAGCACGACTTGGTCGACCGCGCTCCAGCAGTGCAGGGACGCGGCTTGCCAACGCTGCAGGTCGATGGTGTGACAACAGCGCAAGTCGACGGCGTGCCAGCGTTGCTCCTGCAGTCCAGCATCGCACCAGCTTCGCAGGTGCTCGTAGATGATTGGCGCGCACTGCTTCGTCACCTGCACAGCGTACGCACCAAGTCCACCTTGTGCTGACGACTGCATCTCATCTGCCAGGTCGACCTCGGGATACCACCACCGAGGTCGTCCTTGCCAACCTCGCCTGGGCGACCTTCGCGTGCCTTCGCAGACCCTCGTCACCCAGGTAACCTGGTCGACCGGGCAACCACGTCGACCAGGTGCTCCTGTGCGTGCCTGTCGACCTCCCAAGTCGACGGCCACCTCCAGTCGACCTCACCAGGTCGACCACGCACTCTGGACGACCAACTCCAGGTCGACGACACTCCTTGTCGACCACCTCCAGGTCGACCAGCACTCCTGTTGGCCGACCACCCAAGTCGGCTACCCCAGGTCGGCGTCCCCAAGTCGACGCCCTCTGCAGGTCGACTTCTCAAGTCGACCACTCGAAGTTGGCGCCCTCCCAAAGTCGGCGCCCTTGTAGTCGGCTCGCCCACTACTGCAGGTCGGCTGCACCCCTACACCCGACCAGGAAGTCGGCTCCGCCCAAGCGAGGACGGGGCCAACACCCAACTCCCGTTGACAGCGAGCATCATTGGTCATCGGCCCTTGAGAACGAAGAGCGCCCGCTGCACTTCCTGCACATGTGCGGATCCTAGCGCGTTTTGAGGCTAGAAGCGCTCGTTCTGAGCGTTTTTCTTCTACCAAGTCACGTGGCTGCGCTTGTCTAGGCCTCTTGCCAAGCCAGCAAGGGCGTGGAAGGGTTGCGAGCATCATTGGTCATCGGCCCTTGAGAATGAAGAGCGCCCGCTGCACTTCCTCCACATGTGCGGATCCTAGCGCGTTTTGAGGCTAGAAGCGCTCATTCTACGCGTCGTTCTTCTACCAGGTCACGTGGCTGCACTTGTCTAGGCCTCTTGCCAAGCCAGCAATGGCGTGGAAGGGTTGCAACATCATTGGTCATCGGCCCTTGAGAATGAAGAGCGCCCGCTGCACTTCCTCCACATGTGCAGATCCTAGCGCGTTTTGAGGCTAGAAGCGCTCGCAGTGAGCGTTTTTCTTCCACCAAGTCACATGGCTGCGCTTGTCTAGGCCTCTTGCCAAGCCAGCAAGGGCGTGGAAGGGTTGCGAGCATCATTGGTCATCGGCCCTTGAGAATAAAGAGCGCCCGCTGCACTTCCTCCACATGTGCAGATCCTAGCGCATTTTGAGGCTAGAAGCGCTCGCAGTGAGCGTTGTTCTTCTACTATGTCACGTGGCTGCACTTCTCTAGGCCTCTTGCCAAGCCAGCAAGGGCGTGGAAGGGTTGCTAGCATCATTGGTCATCGGCCCTTGAGAAAGAAGAGCGCCCGCTGCACTTCCTCCACATGTGTGGATCCTAGCGCGTTTTGAGGCTAGAAGCGCCCGCAGTGAGCGTTTTTCTTCTACCAGGTCATGTGGCTACGCTTGTCTAGGCCTCTTGCCAAGCCAGCAAGGGCGTGGAAGGGTTCCTAGCATCATTGGTCATCGGCCCTTGAGAATGAAGAGCGCCCGCTGCACTTCCTCCACATGTGTGGATCCTAGCGCATTTTGAGGCTAGAAGCGCTCGCAGTGAGCGTTTTTCTTCTACCAAATCACGTGGCTGCGCTTGTCTAGGCCTCTTGCTAAGCCAGCAAGGGCGTGGAAGGATTGCGAGCATCATTGGTCATCGGCCCTTGAGAATGAAGAGCGCCAGCTGCACTTCCTGCACATGTGCGGATCCTTTCGCGTTTTGGGGCTAGAAGCGCTCGCAGTGAGCGTTTTTCTTCTACCAAGTCATGTGGCTGCGCTTGTCTAGGCCTCTTGCCAAGCCAGAAAGGGCGTGGAAGGGTTGCGAGCATCATTGGTCATCGGCCCTTGAGAATGAAGAGCGCCCGCTGCACTTCCTCCACATGTGTGGATCCTAGCGCGTTTTGAGGCTAGAAGCGCCCGCAGTGAGCGTTTTTCTTCTACCAGGTCATGTGGCTGTGCTTGTCTAGGCCTCTTGCCAAGCCAGCAAGGGCATGGAAGGGTTGCTAGCATCATTGGTCATCGGCCCTTGAGAATGAAGAGCGCCCGCTGCACTTCCTCCACATGTGTGGATCCTAGCGCATTTTGAGGCTAGAAGCGCTCGCAGTGAGCGTTTTTCTTCTACCAGGTCACGTGGCTGCGCTTGTCTAGGCCTCTTGCCAAGCCAGCAAGGGCGTGGAAGGGTTGCGAGCATCATTGGTCATCGGCCCTTGAGAATGAAGAGCGCCCGCTGCATTTCCTGCACATGTGCGGATCCTAGCGCGTTTTGAGGCTAGAAGCGCTCGTTCTGAGCGTTTTTCTTCTACCAAGTCACGTGGCTGCGCTTGTCTAGGCCTCTTGCCAAGCCAGCAAGGGCGTGGAAGGGTTGCAAGCATCATTGGTCATCGGCCCTTGAGAATGAAGAGCGCCCGCTGCACTTCCTCCACATGTGCAGATCCTAGCGCGTTTTGAGGCTAGAAGCGCTCGTAGTGAGCGTTTTTCTTCCACCAAGTCACGTGGCTGCGCTTTTCTAGGCCTCTTGCCAAACCAGCAAGGGCGTGGAAGGGTTGCGAGCATCATTGGTCATCGGCCCTTGAGAATAAAGAGCGCCCGCTGCACTTCCTCCACATGTGCAGATCCTAGCGCGTTTTGAGGCTAGAAGCGCTTGCAGTGAGCGTTTTTCTTCTACCATGTCACGTGGCTGCGCTTCTCTAGGCCTCTTGCCAAGCCAGCAAGGGCGTGGAAGGGTTGCTAGCATCATTGGTCATCGGCCCTTGAGAATGAAGAGCGCCCGCTGCACTTCCTCCACATGTGCAGATCCTAGCGCGTTTTGAGGCTAGAAGCGCTCGCAGTGAGCGTTTTTCTTCTACCAAGTCACGTGGCTGCGCTTGTCTAGGCCTCTTGCCAAGCCAGCAAGGGCGTGGAAGGGTTGCGAGCATCATTGGTCATCGGCCCTTGAGAATGAAGAGCGCCCGCTGCACTTCCTCCACATGTGCGGATCCTAGCGCGTTTTGAGGCTAGAAGCGCTCATTCTACGCGTTGTTCTTCTACCAGGTCATGTGGCTGCGCTTGTCTAGGCCTCTTGCCAAGCCAGCAAGGGCGTGGAAGGGTTGCAAGCATCATTGGTCATCGGCCCTTGAGAATGAAGAGCGCCCGCTGCACTTCCTCCACATGTGCAGATCCTAGCGCGTTTTGAGGCTAGAAGCGCTCGCAGTGAGCGTTTTTCTTCTACCAAGTCACGTGGCTGCGCTTGTCTAGGCCTCTTGCCAAGCCAGCAAGGGCGTGGAAGGGTTGCGAGCATCATTGGTCATCGGCCCTTGAGAATGAAGAGCGCCCGCTGCACTTCCTCCACATGTGCAGATCCTAGCGCGTTTTGAGGCTAGAAGCGCTCGCAGTGAGCGTTTTTCTTCCACCAAGTCACGTGGCTGTGTCAAACATTGTATATGTTGTATTTGAGTAGGCTGTAGTGGGTTAGCCTATAGGGGGGTCACAACATTAGGGTTTCATATTTGTACTCACAATCCTTTCTAGTCCATCATTCCAGTCCGTTATTACTGACATGGTTTCAGAGCAGGTCCGTCGCTAGGACTGTTCTTAGGGCCCACCTACCTACCTACCTACCTACTGTGCGCCTCGTGCGCCTGCGCGCCCTAGAGCGCTCCTTACCTACCTACCACGCGCACGCAGCTCGCTAGCCGCCCGCGCGCGGCTTCCCTTTTTTTTTTACCGCGCGCGCCGTACTAGCCGCTCGCGCGCGGCCGTTTTCACGCGTGCGCCCCGCCAGCTGCCCGCGCGCGCTTTATTTTCTTCGCGCGCGGCCCGTCACGCTGCCTCCCCGCTGCCCGCGCGCCTTTGCGCTGCTGCCCGTGCGCCTCGTGGCCTCGCGCACTGCCCGCCCGTCGCCTGCTCGCGCACGCCCCGCAGGCCCGCAGCCCGCCGTCGCAGAGGCCGCACGCCCGCTGCTCGCAGCCGCCCGTGCGCCGCTGCCACTGCCGCACGTGCGCATACGCAGCTGCCGCCCGTGCGCTGCTTCCGCTGCTGCTTGCGCACCGCCGCCTCCCGCCGTCGCCGCACGTGCACTGCCGCTGCCCGTGCGCCGCCGCTGCCCGTGCGCCGCCGCTGCCCGTGCGCCGCCGCTGCCCGTGCGCCGCTGCCGCCCGTGAGCCGCTGCTGCTGCCGCCCGTGCGCATCCGCCGCTGCTGCCCGAGTGCTGCTGCCGCTGCTACTTGTGCACCGCTCGCAGCCGCTGCCGCCCGTGCGCTTCTGCAGCCGCCGCCCGCGAGGCACTCGCTCTCACTGTTTTTTCTACCTACCGCGCACACTGCTACCACTGCAGCTGCCACCAGTGCGCCGTTGCAGCTCCTGCTGCCACGCTCCCTACTACTGCCGCTCGTGTGCCACTACGGACAGTCGACCCCGCCCGTGCCTTACCTAGCGGCCCCGCCGGCCCCGTTGACCCTACGCACACCTTTCCAGCGGCCTGGTTCCTACTCCTACTACTGTCACTATGGCTAGTCCTCCCGTTCTAGCTTTCGATGCCGAGGGCCGTCCGGTGAAGTTCGAAACCTGGCTAGATGACCTGCACCTGTTCCTACAGCTCACTGCCAAGGAAGACATCTCGCTGTACGACCACGCCCTAGGCCATGCTACTGCCCCTGACACGTCTGCTGACAGCACTCTACGCTCTCAGTGGCAGACTCGTGATGCGCACGCTCGCTTTGCTATTCGCAACTCCCTGCCGCTAGACGAGCGCGAGCACTTCGGCCAGTGCAAGACTGCTAAGGACCTCTACACCGCTGTAGTTGCCCGTTACTCCTCACCCGCTTCTGCTACGCTAGGCCGCCTCACTCTCCCCTACCTGTTCCCCGACCTAGCCTCCTTTCACACTGTCGCAGACCTCATCACCCACCTTAAGACTAGTGAGGCCCGCTTTCGCGCTGCTATGCCTGCCGAGTTTCTCACTAGCAACCCCCCCCGCTCTGGATCACTCTCTACCACATCGTCACCCGCCTCCCTGACTCTCTGCGCGCAGTCAGGGACCACTTCCTCTCTCGCTCCCCCACTGAGCTCACTGTTGCCCTCCTCGAGAAGGAACTGCTTGCAGCTGAGGCGAGCATCGTCGCTGTAGGCACCTCTCGTGGCGACCCCCGCACCCCGTTCTTCGAGGGGTGTTCCCCTTCCCCCCTCCTCCCCTCTGTCGCCTCTGCTGCTGCTGTCGACCTCCTTGGTGCTGAGAAGGTCGGGACCGCGTCTGCTTCGAGCGGGCGCCGCAGGAGCAAGGGAGGCAGGGGTGGGGGTGGTGGCGGAGGAGGTGGGGGTGGAGGCGGTGGGAGTGGAGGCGCGACTGGGGAGGCTAGAGGCAGCAGTGGGGGAGGAGACAGCAGCGGCGGGAGCGGTGGCAGGGGCGGAGGCGGCAGCGGAGGTGGAGGTGGTCGTGGCGGCGGCAGGGGTGGAGGTGGCCGAGGCGGTGGTGGTGGCGGTGGTGGTCGTGGAGGCACTGGCGGAGGCCAGAGTCAGCAGCCCGCCCCGACGCTTCAGGCCGCCCGTGAGTGGTATGCGCAGCGTGGCTGTACCTGCACGTACGTCATTCGCACAGGTGACCGCAGCGGCCAGCAGTGTGGGAGGCCGCACCCCACGCAGCGCTGCTTCGCGCGCCTTAACGACGCGTGGCGCACCCAGTTTCCTGATGCCACTGAGCTGCCGCGCTGGGCTGATCTGGAAAAGAGGGGTGTCGATATTTGGGCTCTAGACTTTGATGCTATTCTCACTGCCATGTATGCCATGTCTATTAGTGGAGAGGGTGCTCAGTACTTACGTGTTCCGCCCGACCCGGGCATTCAGGCCAGTCCGGCTGCCGCTCTAGGTGCTAGTGCGTCTGCTCCCACAGGTCCTGGTGAGGCTGCTGCCCTAGGTGCTAGTGCGTCCGTGCCCCCTGGTACTGAGTCGACTGCAGCACTGCACACCTTCACACTGGACTCAGGTGCCTCTCGCTCTTTCTTTCGTGACCGCACTGTCCTTGAGCCACTCGCTCGGCCAGTTGCTGTCTCCCTTGCTGACCCCTCTGGGGGTCCAGTCATTGCCACCTCCTCCACTGTTCTTCCTTGTCCTGCGGTCCCGTCCGGCACGCTTTCAGGTAGGTAGTGCGCTCCAGGACGGGGGTGTTCACCAGTTCACCCCTGCCTACGAGCGCGTGACACACTGCACGTGTGCTCGGACGGGCCGTCACCTGGCTACCTTCACTCGGGAGCCGGGGTCGGACCTGTACACACTGACCACTGAGTCCCCTCAGGTAGCTGCGTCTGCGTCTGCGTCTGCGTCAGGTCAGTTGTCCGCCCCCTGCTCGTGTCGCTCTCTGGCGCATGAGACTGTCCTCTGGCACCACCGCCTTGGTCACCCGTCTGTGCAGCGCCTTCGGGCCATGCACAAACGGGACCTTGTTGCTGGTCTTCCCAGGGTTCTCCCTCCCCTCCCACCCTCGCCTGCTCCTCCCTGTCTTCCCTGTGTCGAGGGGCGGCAGCGCGCCGCTCCTCACTCCTCCTCCTTTCCCCCGACGACTGCTCCTTTGCAGACGCTCCACTTGGACGTGTGGGGCCCAGCCCGCGTCCGTGGACAGGGTCAGGAGAGGTACTTCCTGATTGTTGTTGACGACTTCTCGCGCTACACCACGGTCTTCCCCTTGCGCGCCAAGGGTGACGTCCTTGATGTCTTGATCCCTTGGATCCGCAGATCTCGTCTCCAGCTCAGCAAGCGTTTCCACTCCGACTTTCCTGTCCTGCGTCTGCACTCTGACAGAGGTGGGGAGTTTTCCTCCGGCCTCTTGGAGGCCTTCTGTCAGCAGGAGGGCATTGAGCAGTCGTTCACGCTTCCGGCCTCTCCACAGCAGAATGGGGTTGCTGAGCGCCGCATTGGTCTAGTCATGGAGGTCGCTCGTACCTCCTTGAGTCATGCGGCTGCCCCCCATTTTCTGTGGCCGTTTGCGGTCCGATACGCTGCGCATCAGCTCAACCTCTGGCCCCGTGTCTCCTTGCCCGAGACTTCTCCGACACTGCGTTGGACGGGAGAGGCTGGCGATGCGTCGCGTTTTCGGGTCTGGGGATCCCGAGCTTTTGTCCGCGACACGTCCGCGGACAAGCTCTCCCGTCGCGCTGTCCCCTGCGTCTTCCTTGGCTTTGTCCCGGACGCCCCTGGTTGGCAGTTCTACCACCCCACCTCGCGTCGTGTCCTGGCCTCTCAGGACGTCACTTTTGACGAGTCCGTCCCCTACTACCGCCTCTTCCCCTACCGCACTGCCCCACTCCCCCCCCCGCCTCTCTTCCTTGCTCCAGGTGCTGAGGTACCAGACCCCCTCCCCCCTCAGGGTGCCGCTCCCTCAGGTGTGTCCCAGGTAGACCCAGGTGAGCCTGTCGAGGTAGCTGTTGACTCTCGTCCTGCTAGGGGTGCTGAGCCTGGGGGTGCTGCGTCTGGGGGTGCTGAGCCTGGGGGTGCTGCGTCTGGGGGTGCTGAGCCTGGGAGTGCTGAGTCTGGGGGTGCGGAGCCTGGGGGTGTTGAGCCTGGAGGTGCGGAGCCTGGAGGTGCGGAGCCTGGAGGTACTGAGCCTGGGGGTGCGGAGTCTGAGGGTGCTGAGTCTGGGGGTGCTGAGACTGAGCGTGCTACACCTGGAGGAGCCCTCTCCTCCCAGCAGCTGCAGGAGAGGTACCTCGAGTACTGCCGCCTCCGGAGAGGTGCTGCTGGAGCTCGTCCCGGTACTTCCCCTCCTACCCAGGAGCTCCCCCCCATTCAGCAGATCCGAGAGTGGTACACACGGCGCTGCAGTCTTCGGAGTGGTGCTCCGGGTGCTGCGGACACAGGGGGTGGCGCTACTGCTGGTGCTGAGGACCCGGGCGTTGGAGCTGCTGCTGGTGCTGAGGACCCGAGCGGTGGCGCTGCTGCTGGTGCTGGGGACTCGGACGTTGGAGCTACTGCTGGAGTTGAGGACCCGAGCGGTGGTGCTGCTGCTGGTGCTGAGGACCCGGCCGGTGGAGCTGCTGCTGGTGCTGAGGACCCGGACGTTGGAGCTTCTGCTGGTGCTGAGGACCCTGCCCCTGGTGTCTCTGCTGGTTCTGGAGATGCTGCGCGGCCGCGACCGTACTTCGTACCGCTCCTTCAGCAGGTTCTTGGGCAGACTCCTCCTCCTTGTCCTCCTCCCTCCGTAGAGTGTCCACCGCCTGTCCAGCCGCAGTCACAGTTACCGCCTACCTCGCCTCTCCCTGCTCCCTCTCCTTACGCTGGTCCCACAAGAGGTCTTACAGAGCGTCGTGAGCCTGAGTCTCGTCCTGCGTCGCCTGTTCGTACTGCGTGCACTGGTCGTCGTGTCCCACGCCAGCGTCCTCCTCCTGTCCCTGGCACTCATTACATGACTCTGCGTCGCTCTACTGCTCCTCAGCGTGTCCCTCTGCCGTCTCCTCCTGCTTCCTCTCTTCCTACTCTTCCTGACCCGGAGTCTGACTCCCGTCGTGCTGCCAGTCCCACTGTCACACGTCTCCTCGCTACTGTTGTCACTGACCCTACCTTTGAGTCCTCTGCTGCGTCTGCTCTAGTCGCTGAGCTGGTTGACTTTGCTGCTGCCTGTCGTCTAGACTACGCTGCTAGCCTTGTCGCTGAGTCTGCGTCTGAGTCTGTCTGTCCTCCGTCCGTCGGGGGTGAGTGTGCTCTTGGCACGGACGTCCTTGAGGACAGACAGGAGGAGTTCCAGTGCCTTGCTGCTGTCTTGCCCCGTCTCGTGTCCTTGCTAGTTGCCCCTGAGGGAGACCCGGATGCACCAGATATCCCGACCCCGCGCACTTACGCTGAGGCGATGGCGGGTCCCTACTCCTCTCAGTGGCAGACAGCCATGGACGCCGAGATGGCTTCCTGGAAGTCCACACGCACCTACGTCGACGAGGTTCCCCCTCCTGGGGCGAACATCGTCAGTGGCATGTGGATTTCAGGGTGAAGCGGCCGCCGGGTTCTCCTCCTGTCTTCAAGGCGCGCTATGTTGCTCGAGGCTTCAGTCAGCAAGAGGGAGTCGACTTCTTCCAGACCTTCTCCCCCACCTCGAAGATGACCACTCTTCGGGTGCTGCTGCACATAGCCGCCCACCGCGACTACGAGCTTCACTCACTTGACTTCAGCACTGCTTTCTTGCAGGGCAGCCTGCACGAGGAGATCTGGCTACGTCGCCCACCTGGCTTCACTGGGTCGGTTCCTCCTGGTACCCAGTGGAGGCTCCAGCGGCCGGTCTACGGTCTCCGCCAGGCGCCACGTGAGTGGCACGACACACTGAGGACGACACTTGCGGCTCTTGGGTTCGCGCCCTCTACTGCTGACCCGTCGCTGTTTCTACGCACCGACACCTCGCTGCCGCCGTTCTACATCCTCGTGTACGTCGACGACTTGGTCTTTGCCACGGCTGACACTGCGGCACTCGCCCACGTGAAGTCGGAGCTGCAGAGGAGACACACGTGCACAGACCTGGGTGAACTGACGAGCTATCTTGGCTTGCGGATCACCCGGGACAGAGCACGGCGCACCATCATTCTGACTCAGTCACACATGGTGCAGCAGATCCTCCAGCGCTTCCGCTTCACGTACTCCTCGCCTCAGTCCACTCCTCTGTCTACCGGTCACTCACTCTCAGCTCTGCCTTCGGATGAGTCCGTAGAGCCGAGTGGCCCGTATCCAGAGCTTGTGGGCTGCCTCATGTACCTGATGACCTGCACTCGACCTGACCTGGCATACCCTCTTAGCATCCTTGCACGCTACGTCGCTCCTGGCCGTCACAGGAAGGAGCACATGGATGCCGCTAAGAGGGTGTTGCGCTACTTGTGCAGTACGTCGAGCATGGGGCTTGTGCTTGGAGGGCGCGACCGAGTTGTTCTCACAGGGCACTCAGACGCTTCTTGGGCAGACGACCAGGCTACTCAGCGGTCGTCTCAGGGTTACACCTTCAGCCTTGGTTCTGGCTCAGTTTCTTGGCGCTCTACACGTTCTTCTTCTGTTCTCAGCTCCAGTTGCGAGGCTGAGATCTACGCCACAGCCATGGCTGCCCAGGAGCTACGCTGGCTGACCTACCTGCTGACCGACCTGGGAGAGCGGCCTCGTTCTCCTCCAGTGCTGTACGTCGACAACAAGGCTGCCATTGCCTTGTGTGAGGAGCACAGACTGGAGCACAGAACGAAGCACATTGCCCTGCGGTACTTCCTTGCTCGAGAGCTACAGCAGCGCGGTCAGCTTTGTATTCGCTACGTGGCCACTGAGGCCAACACTGCTGATGTGTTCACCAAGGCGCTTCAGCCTTGTGACCATCAGCGCTTCTGCACTCTACTAGGCCTTGTGCCTACTGGACCTCACTTACTTACCTCTTGACCTTGCTTGTACTGTGATCACTATATATATATCTACCTGCATGTTTACTCTTGCTAGGTTGTGATCACTGTATCTCTTGCTCTGTTATAAACCTGCATGTGAACTGGTCTTGTGACCACTAGCTTGTGCTCGGAATTTGTGTGGAATCCTTGAGATCCACCCTGAGCTTGTTGTTGCCTTGCTTTGCCTTGACTGGTCTTGTGACCCCTAGGTCTCTCCCACCTTGCCTATGGGGGTGTGTCAAACATTGTATATGTTGTATTTGAGTAGGCTGTAGTGGGTTAGCCTATAGGGGGGTCACAACATTAGGGTTTCATATTTGTACTCACAATCCTTTCTAGTCCATCATTCCAGTCCGTTATTACTAACAGGCTGCACTTGTCTAGGCCTCTTGCCAAGCCAGCAAGGGCGTGGAAGGGTTGCGAGCATCATTGGTCATCGGCCCTTGAGAATGAAGAGCGCCCGCTGCACTTCCTCCACATGTGCAGATCCTAGCGCATTTTGAGGCTAGAAGCGCTTGCAGTGAGCGTTTTTCTTCTACCAGGTCATGTGGCTGCGCTTGTCTAGGCCTCTTGTCAAGCCAGCAAGGGCGTGGAAGGGTTGCTAGCATCATTGGTCATCGGTCCTTGAGAATGAAGAGCGCCCGATGCACTTCCTCCACATGTACGGATCCTAGCGCGTTTTGAGGCTAGAAGCGCTCGCAGTGAGCGTTTTTCTTCTACCAGGTCACGTGGCTGCGCTTGTCTAGGCCTTTTGCC